GGAAGGAGGAGGAGCTGGGTGACCCAATACGATAGTTATGAAAAGGGTCCTATTTCTTGGACTCCCCGGTCTTCGGAAGGAAGGGAACTATGTCTGAATTCCTGGGTTTGAACTTACTGTGCAGAGTGCCCCCCTTATAGCACAACTGTCCCGCTCCAACTCTCAGGGTCCTGAAGTTCAGGTGAACCCAGCTCTGCGGTTACCTTCCCTCCATTTGCTCTTATCTGGAACCCGGAGGCAGCTAAACCCATATGCCAGCACTCTACCTCCACCCTCATTCCTGAGGCTAGGCCTGGGGGTCCCCCCCCCCCCCCCGCACGTTCAAGCTCCACCCTCCCTATTGGCACCTACCAAGGGAGGGACGAGGTGCTGTCATTGTTGGACACCTCCTGGGTAGAGGGGGGCCTGGGGACCAGGTCTCCTTTCCTCTGAGGGAGATGGTGCCTGAAGGCCAAGACTCCTGGGTCTGAAGGTGGAAGTGGCTGGGAGCCTGCATACTTGGCTCTGGGTGAGGTGGTGACTGGGGTTCTAAACTCCTGGGTCTGTGGGATGGAGGCCTGGGAACCAAGGATTATGGGTGTAGGGGGAAGTATGTCTAAAGGTCAGGCTTCCTGATCTGACGGTACAGAGCCTAGGGGTCTGGCTTCCTCGGTCTGAGAACGAAGGCGACTGGGAGGGTTGGGGGGTGTCTGTAACCTTGGGTCTATCCCGTGTCTGCGGCCTGAGGAAGAAGGGAGCTGGGACCTTGGTGACTGGGGTCGCAGCGGCAGCCTCACCTGCATCCGCGGTGGTGACGCCCCAGCCAGACACAGTACAGCTTGTCCCACGGCCTTTGCAGCTGGACGGTAGGTCGATTGTGCTCACAGTGGGCGAGAGCGTGGCCGGGCTGCGCAGCTTCACCAACATGATGTCATGATAATAGGTGCCGTTGATATACCAGGGGTGGATGAAGGACTCTGTGGCCCTGATCCTCTGGGCATTTCCATCAACCAGAAGATCACTACCCATTTGCACAATATACTCACTTAAAAAAAACAAAGTAACGTTCAGAGGGAGACACTGTGATTGAGAGAAGGGTACATAGACCCAGAGTTAGGAGGATAGAAGCCGAGAGAGAGAGAGACCCAGAGAGAGAGAGAGAGAGAGAGAGAGAGACCCAGAGAGAGACCTAGAGAGAGACATGGAGTGGCGCTGTCTCCCTGTCCCATACCTCAGGCGGCAGTGGGCGACGGTGAGCACCCACTGCTGGTGGACCAGCACGCCTGCACAATGTAACTCATCGTTGTCATACAGGGCCACCTGCCAGGGATGGGAGCCTATTGAACATGGAACTCCATTAATGATCCTCTCCCCGGTATCCTGGTCATGATGGAGACCTGGAAAAAGCGTGGGTAGCGGGCCTCAGGAGAAGGCTGAGGCCACAGTAGATGGATGCCCAGAGACAGTGATGGAGAGAGAGACAGACAGAGAGACGTGGAGAAGGGCAGAGGTAGACATGGAGCCCAGGGCAGAGACAGGTGCAGACGGAGATGGAGAGAGATGGAGGGAGGTGGCTCAAAAACTCAGGGAAGGAGCTGATTTGGAGGCAGCCCCAGCTTCTGATGAGAGAGACACTGAGGGCTGGAAGCAGCCTGGAGGGCACCAAGAGCCAAAGAGTCAGGAGGGAGCAGGAAGAAAGGGGCCACAGGCCAGGGGTCGGGTCTCCATGGGAGGAGGCTGCTGCAGGGGAGTGTCCTGACTCAGGGGCTCCTTGGAGAGAGGGGGCCTGGAGAGGGGAGGTGGGGGACTGTGAGGCCCAGGGGCAGGGGCAGGACTCCCAGGCTGGTCCTCACCTTCTTTTTCAGCAGATCCCAGGGCGAATGACAGCAGTAGGAGCAGCAGGGGCTGGAGCAGGGGACCTGCCATGTGCCCTCTCTGAGCCTCTGTGGCTGCCACGGAGGAGGGGCCTTCTGTGCTGGGGCTGGAAAGACAGAGAGTTCAGGAAGCAGGACTCCTGGTCTCCAGGTCCTTTCCCTTTGCTCAGATCCAGGAGCCCCCCACTTCCACCCTCAGACCCAGGAGCCCCAGTCTGCACCCACCTCCTCCCTCTAGACCCACAATTCCAAGCCAGAGTCAGCCTACCATGCAGAGCACCTAATGATCGGGCTTTCTGTCCCTCCCCATTTTAATTCTATGTCCCAAGTTCCTTTTAGGTAAAAGTCCCAAAACTCCAAACCTCCAGCCTCTCCTCACAACCAGATATTGGGCCTCTACTGCTCTGTCCTCAAGAGCAAGAGCCAGCTGTCCCTCCAGATGCACCTGCCCCACCCCGCATGGCATTTCCTCTCACCTGCAGGGGGTCTGGTCTGGTCTGGTCTTCAGTCTGGGTTGGGATTCAATGGTGCCCAGCCCTGTGCAGAGTGGTCCTCTTATAGCCACCCGCCGCACTCCAGCTCTCAGGGTCCTGGAGTTCAGCGAACCCAGCTCTGGGGTTACCTTACCTGCATTTGCTCTTATCTGGAACCCGGAGGCAGCTAAACCCATATGCCCGCACTCTACCTCCACCCTCATTCCTGAGGCCAGGTCAGGGGCTTGGCTCCAGCAGGTCCCAGCTCCCTGGTGACATCTATGAAGGGTGTGACCAGGTACTAGCCTTGAGGGGCAGGAGCAGGAGTCAAGGATGGACTGTGCCCTGGGACCTCCACTGTGGCCACTTTTCTTGCCCTCAGCCCCTCTCAGGGGTGGCCTAGACCTTATCCCGTGACTCTGAGCAGCTTGTGGCAACTTGTCAGGCTGAATCCCAGACGTGTCTTTGAGCCTGAACCCAACCCTAATATTGGGGTGTGAATCTAAAGGAAGGTTTTCCTAACTCAACCTACTCAATATGTACTTTTTTCACTTATTATACTTTGATTTCTAAACATCGTATGAATTTCTAACAAAAAATCCTGAATACTATATTATAGGACATTTTATTTACTCTATAAAAAGTCTTAAAGAGCCCTAGCCAGCTCATTAATACGCTTTGGCCAGCAGACCAAATGTTCTGTGTTTGATTGCAGTTAACGGCATGTACTTTGGTTACAGGCTCCTCCCCAGCCTGGGCCCTGATTGGGGCTCGTGCAAGAGGCAACCAATCGATGTGTCACTCTCACATTGGTGTTTCTGTCTTTCCCTCTCTCTTCCACTCTCCCTAAAAACCAATGAAAAAATATCCTTGGGTGAGGATTAACAACAACAACAGAAAGTTAAAAAATAAATTTAAAAAGTCTTGGGCAATTGCTTCTCTTAGAATGATTACTCCTACCATTATTCTACACTATAGCTTTCTTCTGACTTATGTCACTTTTTCACATTGAAGTGCCTTTGAATCGCTTTCATTACAATGATGGTGGGATGAATTTCTTTGCATTTTCATCTTTCCTCATTGTTTTCATTCCTGAAGTATCTACTGAGCATTGACTCTGAGCCAGAATCTGTTCTGGCCTCTGAGGGCACAGATTCCTGAAAACAGCGAAATTCCATCCCTAAGCCCCACATTCCAGTGGGTGGAGACCTTAAGTAAGGAAAGAAGAACTTCACATTTATAGGTTGTTTTTTTTAAAAAAAATATATTTTATTGATTTTTTACAGAGAGGAAGGGAGAGGGACAGAGAGTCAGAAACATTGATCAGCTGCCTCCTGCACACCCCCTACTGGGGATGTGCCTACAACCATGGTACATGCCCTTGAGTGGAATCGAAAATGGGACCTTTCAGTCTGCAGGCCGACGCTCTATCCACTGAGCCAAACCGGTTAGGGCAGGTTGTTGTTTTTTACGTGGCAGTGAGTGCTATGGAGAAAAATAAGACCAGAGGATGCCCAGGGAATTATTGGTTCCCTCTGATCTCACCACCCCTGCAGTTATAATGTTGGGAAAGGTGGTTGGAAAGACCCCAGGTGAAGAGGACATTCGCACAAAATCTTGTAGGAGATGGTAGATGGATTCCTGTAGCTACTTGGGAGCCGTGAGCCCTGGGAAGAGTGATGGGCAGGTGAGAAGAGGAGGAAGACCTAGAATGTTCTAGCAGGGAAGACTTTTTTGTTGGAGCTGAAAGAATCAGAGGGACAAGGGTGGGGGATTGGTTCAGAGGCCTCAGAGGATTTGGAAGACACGGGGATTGAAGCCCGAGGTAGGACTTTGGTATTTGTATTGAGTAACACAGGAACCATTGCCAGATTCCTACTAGACAGCGGATTCCTAACAGTGGAATTGAGCCTCACTTCTAACTCAGACCCCCAAATATGTTTCATTCCTTAGTGTGAGTCCATGTGTTATCTCAATTCAGATCTTTAATCCAATTCTAACTCCGTCCCACAAGTTGACCCATCATAGACATTGGTGTTGCCTACCCAGCATGCACTCCTTCTGCCGTTTGTCAGAATCTTGATTTCGTTTGGACAACCTGCTGTGCTCATGTGACCACAAATGAACTTTACTGCACCAAGGGGGGGGGGGGCGGGGCTTAGGCATGGAAGGGGAATGTCTTCTGTCCAGGGATTGGTTTATAAATAAACATGTGATACAATGTTGGCTAATGAGGAGTGAGGGGAAGACCCCCGGGTTACTTCAGGGAACTGCTTTCCTCTTCCCAAAGTGAGGCAGGAGAAGAGTTCTCCTCAACTCTGTTAGACAGGGTCCCTTCTGGTTGTAAATTCTGGAAGGGAGGCAGCCCTCCTTGAACTGGGGAGGGACGTGCCCGGGGAATAGAGCCATAGCTCTGGGGATGGACAAATGGAGAGAAAGTGATGGTGATGGGCAGTGTCTTTGAGGAGGTTGTGGAGCTGGTAAGTTAATGCTCCATGGAGCCCCTTCATCTCATGTCACCTGCAGGTTTCCTTTCTGGTTTAAAGTTTCTGTGTTGCTGTTCCTGCCACTGCCAGAGTCTTTTTAGGTAGACCTCGATGTCATATACAGATTTCAGTGCAAGTCTGGAATTGGATCCCAAACCATCAATTCCAAATCTAATTCTGAGCTGAATCTCCATGTGGAATCCAAATTAACCAACAAACCTTTCCCTGTCTCCAGGGGTAGCTCTTCTTGCCATCTCTGATATTTCATTATAGCACTTAACTCTGAAACGGAATTTTTGGACTGGAACCCGGATTCTTTGTCTCCCGGAATCGAAGAATGAACCCACAGACAGAAAGTGGTATAGCAAAGGTGGAGGTTTATTGAAGAACATGTAGACTCCCAAGTGGGGAGAGAGAAAGAGTCCCACAGAATGGACTCCCACGTGGAGAGGGGGAAAGGGTCCCACTGAGTTCCTTTTCCCTATGGCTTATAAAGACTGCAGATCCTGGTGCCTTGATATCCCCTCTGATTGGTCACTAGTCCCTTAGACTGGTTACTATACTAACTCCTGGGCTCAAAGGTAGAGTCTCACATGGGACATGTGAGGTTCTCTCCCCCTCCTTCCTTATTGTTTTCCTATTCCCTTTGGGCTTTCTTCTTCTCCTTTTGGATGAAGGGCTTCCTTCCCCTTATTTTGTAAATATAGAGCTTTTTGTGTTCCCAGCTCCCTCATTCTATGGAAATGTGCCTGTTGCAGCTTTTCATCTTCCCCTATTCTATGGAAATATACCTTCTGCTTCTCTGCAGCCCTGGGCTTCCTCCATGGTTGCTTTCATTTTAAAAATTTCTAAAATTTCCTAAACCTGTCCTATGTTACCCCTAAAATTCCTGTGTCAACTCTGTATCATGTTTTGTTTTCTATGCATTTGTTCATTGTCTATTTTCCCCACCTCACATGGGGCTGCAAAAAGATAGGGACTCATAGCCCTAACCAGTTTGGCTCAGTGGATAGAGTGTCTGCCTGCAGACTCAAGTGTCCCAGGTTCGATTCTGGTCAAGGGCATGTACCTTGGTTGTGGACACATCCCCAGTAGGGAGTGTGCAGGAAGCAGGTGATTGATGTTTCTCTCTCATCGATGTTTCTTACTCTCTATCCCTCTCCCCTCCTCTCTGTGAAAAATCAATAAAATATGTATATTTTTTAAATGCCAACAATATCCTAATCAGATAGCGTTTGCTTTCATTTCTTCTGTGACCTGGGAGATGCAGAGACCTCGGTTGTTAGCTTCTTGTAGGAAAGAATTCAATCAAGAAACAACGTGCAGCACAGCAAGCAAAGGATTTGTTTCGCGCCGCAAAAGCATAGCCTGGACAGCGATATAAGAAAGGCCTCAACATGGAAGCGTCAGGAGAGTCCAGGTTGGGCAGCTCTGGCTCACTGGGAAGAGGGGGCAAAGAGGGGATTGGAGACAGGCTCAGGGGGTTAGCCTGCCGCTGCCCGATGCTCTCCTGGTTGCAATTCTCCTGGGCTCCCTTAGAGTTTAGGAGCGTAAGGCCTGTAGGGGAAGAAGATGGGAGAGGGAATGTCTGGGGTGTGCTCCCCATAAGGAGAGGGTACTTATCTCCCTCTTGCAGGTGGGAATCATTGGGGAGGACTCACGGGAGGATCTCAATAAAATATTCATCAGCTTTTTAGCTGCATTCTTTCAGGGTTGTGGTCTCCACTGATTGGTCAGTGCCTGGGCAGGGGGTCTTGAGGTAGCCATGGCATCACTTGTCTGAGTTTTGCTCTTTATCTGGGCCGGGATCTGAAATACAGCTGAGGCCTAGATGATATCCCTAGGGAAGAATGCTGCATGACCAGCCATGTGCCGGGGGGACAGGGGGTGGGTTATCCTGAGGGTGAGGTCCTTGTTTTCCCAAAATTGCCCCTTACTAGGCACCTGGGCTTTTTGCCCTGGTGACCTTCTTTGCCCGGGCTGTGTTCCTTGCTCTGCTCATGTCTGCATAACCGCCTATCACAGCTGGTTGGAGAAGACCCTCAGTCAGCAGGGTCATGGTGATAGCCCAGGGAGCCCAGGGTACCAGGAACCTGCTGATCTTGCCAGGCTCTGAGACACAAGGGACTCCTCCCTCCTCCCTCCTCCCTCCTGTCATCCAGAGGCCCCTTCCAGGCACAGGGTGAGAATAGGAGCCCACCTACCTCCGTTTCCACTCCCACTGTTCTCTCTTCCTCCAAACTCAGGTGCTCACTTATGGCCTCGATAGATTCTGGTGTCCTGTCTAAGTGCCAGCGCCATCCTTTCTGAAAACCTGCTCCCTCTCTCCTCGTTTTTCATCTGTGACATGCTCAGAACCACTCTCAGATCCCTTTGCACACGTGTGAAGTAGGCCTTCCTGTTCTCTATTCCTCCTCCTCCTCCTTACTCCTTCTCCTTCTCCTTCTCCTTTCTCCTTCTCCTTCTCCTTCTTCTCCTCCTCTCTTCCTCCTACCTCCTCCTCCTCCTCTGTCCTCTTCGTCTTGCTTCTTCTTCTTTTTCTTCTTCTTCCTTTCTTCGTCGTCTTATTCTTCTTCTTCTTCTTCTTCTTCTTCTCTCTCCTCTCTCTCTCTATCTCTCTCTATCTCTCTCTCTCTCTCTCTCTCTCTCTCTCTCTCTCTCTCTCTGTAAAACTGAGGCCTGGAAAATGTAGAGGAACACGCCACTGTATCAGTGGGAGCAGGTGGCAGGGTGAGATTCCAAAATCAGTTCATTTTCCTTTCCCACCTCCCTCTGTGAAGGTCTCCTCGCCCCAACCTTAGCTCCTCAGAGGTCCCCGCTGAATTGCTCAGGTTGTAGAAGTGCACGGGCACAGAAAGGGACACGGAAGGAAGGAGGCACCCAGGACTCCGTCCACAGGCAGTTAGGTACATGCTCTTATTCTGTGACGATTCATTTTACACGGTGACAATCACACACATATATGATTTTTGTTTCTTTTTTTTTTTGCATTTAACAACAGACAGCATATGCATTTTGATGTGACACTCACAGTTCTGCATAATTATTATCCTGAACAGTGTCATTAGTCTCCTGGCCTACATCCGTTTGTTGTTGACATAAACCATGGAATAATTCGGGACAGGTTCAGCATTTCCACTGTTTTGCTATGACAGATAGTGTTGTGTGGGACGCAAATACAATGTTTGCACAAGTTCAGGCCTTGGACTGAGGAGAGGGCACAGTCCTCTCATGGCCACGTGCAAGTCCCAGCTTGGAGGGCAGGGCCCTCCCAGCACAATTATAGCCAACTGCTGTAGTTGTGATCTTGAACCGATGGTCCAAACACGTGGCCCCATGTGCCTGAGGGATGCAGGCTTGATAGAGTTCAGGTGCATGTAGTGGAGTGGGATTGAAACCCATGAGAATGTTGTAAACATCTTGACCACACCCTTACATTGCCTCCTGGCATCTGCTATAAAATAACGACATGGCTTGTGGGCGCTGACGCTGTCTCTCTCCACTCGAGAGGGCAGCGTCCCACCGAGACCCAGCTTTCATTCTCTTGTCTGTCTTTTCTAAGCCTTTCAGCGCCCCCACTCAGGGTCACTGACCCAGGCTGAGCTGGCATGGCACATAAGGCGCCCTGGGGCTGAGTATGCCATGGCCGTGCCGGCTCCCCACAATGTTGTGAGAATTCAAAACTTGCCCATGTTTCAGATTGACCAGAATTTCTAGGTCAAAAGCGATGAATGAGATTCCAGACTCACCTTGCCTTACCTTGTGGACTCACCTTGTTAACCTTGTGTCATAAAAATTGTTCTTCACTTCTGCTGGATAACACGGCGGGAACCTGCCCGAATCTTCACCAGCACTGACGTTTTTGTGTTTTATGTTTACCTCATAGGTTTTTGCAAATTTTTATTAGAATGTTGTTGACGGTTTCATACGATTTTGAAAATGATACAGTCAAATACGGCTGCAAGTCAGGACTGTCTTTATTTCTGGGAAGTCCGTGTTCAGGGCATAGGGACAAAGGATGAAAGCATGCAGAGATTAGGAATTGGCTTTCATGGTATCATACAGCCATTTGCGGTACATGCATATGCGGGTGTATATCACTGGCTTAAAGGGCAGGGTACAAGGGATATAGCCGGCCGACACCAAGCCTTGCAGGGAACCTTCGCAAATCAGCGGATTCCCGGAGTCACCCTGGAGGGGAGAGAGCAGATTAGCTTTGATTTCAAAATAACCAGCAATGAGGTCCCACAGACACCAGGCTTCTCAGGCATTTATCCCACCAGAACACAGCCTACAACCTGGCCAATGGGAAGAGACTCATTGTCTCTGTGGACCAATGGCAGAGCAGGAATGAATGCTATCAAGGAGAGGACCAACCAGGTTTTTGGAAGACATTGGCTTGAGCTCTAGTCAATCACAGGGAGAGGGCGGGGCTTGCAGGATGTCAGAGCCCCATTTATTTGTCAAGCCCCTGGGAGAGGAAGCATTACCTCCAGGGAAGCCCATACATTGCCTTCCCCAGGGGTGGGGGACAGGGTAGTCCTGGAAACCAGGGGCGGGACCAATGCCCTAATTTACAGGCTCTAGTGCAAAATAAAAGTTCGAACCACCAGGTTCAAATATAGGAAGTTTAAGAACAGCGAGTGTGTTAAACCAAGTGCGGGACTGTCCCTAGGTTGCGACTCTCTGTCCCGGCACAGTTTGCAGAAATCTGAATCAGGTCCTCAGTGGGGGACCAGAGGGAACCCCCCCCCCCCATTTTTTAGGACATTCAACCTTGTCCCATCACCTCTCTTCCTAAAACACACCATTTCACCACCCCTGAAAGCTTAGAGTGCAGATGTCAGCAGGATAGTGGGGGTACAAAGAGGGAAAGGATGAAAGAGAGAGAGAGAAGGATGGAGAGAAGAAGAAAGGGAAGGATGAAGGAGACAGACAAGCAGAATGTTTGGGGTAAGGAATGAGGCAGAGATGGAGAAAATAAAAAAAATTGACTGAGGCTGGAGAGAGGAAGAGTGGGAGGGAGGGAGGGAGGGAGTAAAGGGAGGGAGGGAGTAAGGGAGTGGGGGAGAGAGAGAGATCACAACACAGAACACAGAGGAAACCAGAAAATGAAATGAGATGTGAGGACCTAGCTGGTTTGACTGAGTGAATAGAGAATCGACTTGCGGACTGAAGGGTCCCAGGTTAGATTCCAGTCAAGGGCACATGCCTGGGTTGCAGGCTTGATCCCCAGTGCCGGGCGTGCAGGAGGCAGCCAATCCATGATTCTCTCTCATCATTGTTGTTTCTCTCTCTCCCTCCCCCTTCCTCTCTGCAATCAATAAAAGTATTAGAAATAAAAAGAAGTGAGGTGTGAGGAGAGATAAGGGGAGAGGGTTCTGGAAGTCAGAGATGAGGCTACAGAGATGAGGAAGGGAGAACAAAGAGGAGGGGCTCCTTCTTTCTTCAGAATTAGAACCAGATACATAGACATAGAAGCAGGGCATGAGCCTCAGGCGCATCTCAGTGACTACAACAAACATTTTAAGGCATATTTTAAAAATCAAATTTAATATGAAAAAAAAATCCATGAGGAACCTGCTTTCCAGTTTTGTGTGTGAGTGTGTGTGTTTTTTTAAATTTTTTCTTTATTTCAGAAAGGAAGGGAGAGGGAGAGAGAGATAGAATGGATAATAGAGAGAATTGTTGATTCACCGCCTCCTGCACGTTCCCTACTGGGCATTGAGCCTGCTATCTGGGCATGTGCCCTTGACTGGAATCGAACCTGGGACACTCCTGTCCGAAGTCCTATGCTGGACCCACTGATCCAATCCTGCTAGGGCAGTATTCCAGATTTAGCTAAAGACGGGGTCCATACAGTGCTGTTCTGAATCACATAGAAGCCCCAAGCCAACGGAAATCCAGCCCATTCTGGTTGCTCTTTTTGTTGAAAATTCTGATTCTTTGCTCATGATGGATTAATTTTTAAATATTTCATGGGAATATGATATTTCCTGGTCACTGAGCTTTTGGTCTGCCCTTAAAGCTTGTGCTCATAGCCAGTACCTCACTGCCCTCCCCATAGTCCCAGCCCCATTCCCTCCCCCAGTTTCTATCCTTCAGCTTTGTGCCCGCCCCTAAAGCCCCGCAGGCCCCCGTGGGCTCCCACCCTCACCCAGGCAGAGAACTGAGTAGACAGAGCCAGGACAGTGGGGCTGGTAAGGTGTGAGGGAAGGCTCAGCACCAGGGTCAGGCCCCTGGACACTGGATGGCGGGGGAGACAGGCCTGGGCTGAGAAGAAGCCGAAACTAGGGCAGGGCAGGAGGGGACTCACTTTGCAGCTGTTTGAGAGCCCATCGCGGGGAGCCGTACAGAGCATGTATTTTTTCAACAGGTTCTGGTAAAAGTGCTTGCAGTCCTGGTAGGAGATGATGTTGACGTTCGAGCACATGAGCTTTGATGACTTTTTTGCTGCTGGAGAAGTTGCGGGGGGGCAGAGGGGTCAGTCAGAGGCTGGGTCCGGTGGACCTGTGCGTGCTGATGTAAAAGAATGGGGACCCTGGACATGGAAGGAGGAGGAGCTGGGTGACCCAATACGATGGTTATGAAAAGGATCCTATTTCTTGGACTTCTGGGTCTTCGGAAGGAAGGGAACTATGTCTGAACTCCTGGGTTTGAACGTACTATGCAGAGTGGCCCTTATAGCACAACTGTCCCACTCTCAGAGTCCTGGAGTTCAGGTGAACCCAGCTCTGGGGTTACCTTCCCTGCATTTGCTCTTATCTGGAACCCCGGAGGCAGATAAATCCATATGCCAGCACTCTACCTCCACCCTCATTCCTGAGGCCAGGCCAGGAGGTTGGCCCCCCACACATTCCAGCTCCACCATCCCTAGTGGTATCTACCAAGGGAGGGACGAGATGCTGTCATTGTTGGACACCTCCTGGGTAAAGGGTGGCCTGGGCACCAGGTCTCCTTTTATCTGAGGGAGATGGCGCCTGAAGGTCAAGACTCCTGGGTCTGAAGGTGGAAGTGGCTGGGAGCCTGCATACTTGGCTCTGGGTGAGGTGGTGACTGGGGTTCTAAGCTCCTGGGTCTGTGGGATGGAGGCCTGGGATCCAAGGATTATGGGACTGGGGGGAGGTATGTCTAAAGGTCAGGCTTCCTGATCTGACGGTGCAGAGCCTAGGGGTCTGGCTTCCTCCGTCTGAGAACGAAAGTGAATGGCGGGGGCGGTGTCTGGAAACTTGGGTGTGTCCACTGTGTCTGCAGCCTGAGGAAGAAGGGAGCTGGGACCTTGGTGACTGGGGTCACAGGGGCCGCCTCACCTGCATCTGCGGTGGTGACGCCCCAGCCAGAGACAGTACAGCTTGTCCCACGGCCTTTGCAGCTGGACGGTAGGTCGGTTGTGTTCACAGTGGGCGAGAGCGTGGCCGGGCTGCGCAGCTTCACCAGCATGATGTCATGATCATTGGTGCCGTTGATATACCGGGGGTGGACGAAAGACTGTGTGGCCCTGATCCTCTGGGCATTTCCATCAACCAGAAGATCACTACCCATTTGCACAATGTACTCACTTAAAAAAAAAGTAATGTTCAGAGGGAGACACTGTGATTGAGAGAAGGTTACATAGACCCAGAGTTAGGAGGACAGAAGGAGAGAGAGAGAGAGAGAGAGAGAGAGAGAGAGAGAGAGAGAGCCAGAGAGAGACATGCAGTGGCGCTGGCTGCCCTTTCCCATACCTCTGGTAGCAGTGGGCGACGGTGAGCACCCACTGCTGGTTAACCAGCACCCCTGCACATTGGAACTTATTGTTGTCATACAGGGCCACCTGCCAGGGATGGGAGCCTCTTGGACATGGAACTCCATTAATGATCCTCTCCCCGGTATCCTGGGCTGGATGGAGACCTGGAAAAAGCGTGGGTAGCAGGGCTCAGGGGATGGCTGAGGCCACAGTAGATGGATGCCTGAAGACAGTGATGGAGAGAGAGACAGTGATGGAGAGAGAGACAGACAGAGAGGCGTGGAGAAGGGCAGAGGCAGACACGGAGCCCAGGGCAGACACAGCTGCAGATGGAGATGGAGAGAGACGGAGGCAGGCTGCTCAACAAACCCAGGGCAGCAGCTGGTCTGGAGGCAGCCCCAGCTTCTGAGGAGAGAGACACTGAGGGCAGGAAGCAGCCTGGAGGGCACCCAGAGCCCAGGAGTCAGGAGGGAGCAGGAAGAAAGGGGCCACAGGCCCGGGGCGGGTCTCCATGGGAGGAGGCTGCTGCAGGGGAGGGTCCTGACTCAGGGGCTCCTTGGAGAGAAGGGGCCCTGGAGAGGGGTGGTGGGAGACTGTGAGCCCTGAGGTAAGGTTAGGACTCCCAGGCTGGTCCTCACCTTCTTGTCCAGCAGATCCCAGGGCTAAGGACAGCAGTAGGAGCAGCACGGGTGGGAGCCGGGGAACGGCCATGTGTCCTGTCTGAGCCTCTGTGGCTGCCATGGAGGAAGGGCCTTCTGTTCTGAGGCTGGAAAGACAGAGAGTTCAGGAAGCAGGACTCCTGGTCTCTAGGTCCCTTCTCTTTGCTCAAAGTCAGGAGCCTCCAGCTCCTCCCTCAGACCCAGGAGCTCCGGTCTGCACCTACCTGCTCCCTCTAGACCAGCCGTGGGCAAACTACGGCCCGCGGGCTGGATCCAGCCCGTTTGAAATGAATAAAACTAAAAAAAAAAGACGGTACCCATTTATGTAATGCTGTTTACTTTAAATTTATATTAGTTCACACAAACACTCCATCCATGCTTTTGTTCCGGCCCTCCGGTCCAGTTTAAGAACCCATTGTGGCCCTCGAGTCAAAAAGTTTGCCCACCCCTGCTCTAGACCCACAAGTCCAGGCCAGAGACAGCCTGCCATGCAGAGCACCTATTGATCGGGCTTTCTGTCCCTCCCCATTTTAATTCTATGTCCCAAGTTCCTTTTAGGTAAAAGACCCAAAACTGAAGCCCTCCAGCCCCTCCTTCTCACAACCAGATATTGGGCATCAACTGATCTGTCCTCAAGAGCAAGAGTGAGGTATCCCTCCAGATGCACATGCCCCACCCCACACGCGATTTCCTCTCACCTGCAGGGGGTCTGGTCTGGTCTGGTCTGGTCTGGTCTTCAGTCTGGGTTGGGATTCAACCGTGTCCAGCCCTGTGCAGAGTGGCCCTCTTATAGCCACCCGCCCCAC